TAAAACTAATGCAATACGATGATGTAACTTCATTATTCTTAAATTTTTTAAGGTTAAATATTGTAATGGGAAAGACAATTTATTATTAAGAGTACATATCTGTTTACACCTAAAATAAACCAATAGGGTAAGGTTACGTGTCAAGGTAAAGCCCAATCATCAAGAAAATCAATAGGCTGGATTTGGGCTAGGTTGGTTTACAATTTAATGGCCCAGACGGATTTCCAAGGAGGTTGGATCTTAGGTGGCAGAAGATAAGATTAGATCCGGTAGTTTGAGTTTGATTTAAAATGGGATATTGAGGATTTTTAGGTAGTTATCTTTAAGGTTGTTGGAGATAAAGTTAAATAAAAATCGGATAACTATTAAATAACTGCCAGACCTGCAATCCCATTACCAGATCATGGAGGAACAGTGCCGAAAATGGAGGAACAGTACTGAAGATCATGGAGAAGATCATGGAGGAGGTTACCAGCATCGAAGGGAACAAAAACAGAGAGGAGAGAACAGTTCAAGGCCTGCCCAACACACACACAGACTGCCCAGAGCATGTTTTTCAGCTTTTAGACTGCATTTTCCAGATTTTAGCAATAGTTTCCAGATTTTCCAGATTAGTTCATAGCCTTAGCCTAGGTTTGTTCATCTTTGTTCATATTTCCTCCCGCAAATTCCAATTTAGATTAATTTTTTAGCATTTGGAAGCAACTTAGCCTTCAAAACAGGTCTGCCTTTTTGATTCGGTTAATTTTTCTTCCTTTTATGGATTTAGTTATGTTATTCGTTCATGTAAATATGTTGAACATCTTCTATCTTTGTTCTTTTGTTTCTACACAATATCCAGACATGCAGTTTGTTTAATTCCAATTTTCGGATTTAAATTTATAAGTTTCCAGACTTTATCATTTCATAGTTTCTTCTTCAGTTCTAGTTATCATTATGGGTTGTGTAGTTGAAATCATTGTCTGTTATTTTACTTTTTCTATTGTCTGTGAATTTAATCTTTATGGCATGTTATTTTCTGTTATTTTCTATTATTTACTTCATATTAGTTTAATTGTTTTAGGATATTGCATTTATTTTAGGATTTGTAGCTTTTATTACACTTGTTTGGTTGTGAAGTCCTTGGAGGTTTCCAAGGCAATTAGTAACCCATTTTGCAGAACTCTACGCTCTGTTTTGCAACATCGTCTGGGGCGTAATTCATTTTACAGACATTCTTTCCAGCCATCCTATTGAAGGTCGACCGCTGGAAAGGAGAAGGGTCGTCTGGAAAATCCTACTTTCTTGTTTTTAGACAAAGCAAGTGGCACGCCTAACATCCAACTCACGTGGTAAAGGTCGGCTGAGGATTTTTGAGGAAACAATATCAATGTAGTTGGTATCGTACCGTACCATACCGGTTGGTACGGTCAATATGTACCGATTTTGGAGGTTAGCCGAAACGAAATAAATTAAAATTTTGTTTACGTCAAATTTTGGTTGTACCGGTCAAATTCTGATGTATCGGCCAAAATTTTG